TTTGTCCCAAAGAAGGGAGGTCCATTAAGGATGTACATTGACTATAGGGGCCTCAATGCCATCACCGTAAAGAACACCGAGCCCCTACCCCGCATCGATGACCTCTTGGATAGAGTACAGGGATGCCGGTACTTCACCAAGATAGATCTGAAGTCCGGATACCATCAAATTGCCGTTATACCTGAGGACCAGCACAAAACCGCATTTCAGACCAGATATGGTCTGTACGAGTTTGTGGTGATGCCCTTTGGTCTATGCAATGCACCTGGTACATTCCAGCACGCGATGAACAAGATATTTCATGACTACTTAGACAAGTTTATCGCCGTGTACCTCCATGATATTCTTATCTTTAGTAGGACTGTAGAGGAGCATGCTGAGCACTTGAAAATAGTACTAGGTCTCTTACGACAGCACCAGTACAAGGTAAGCTTGGACAAATGCGGGTTTGGTCGCACCAAGATCTTGTACTTGGTTCATGAAATCTCAGCAGATGGATTGAGGCCGGAAGATGCCAAGGTGGCCAGCATACGTGACTGGCCCAGACCTCAGACAGTTACTGAGGTCAGATCGTTTTTGGGGATGACGGGCTACTATCGTCCGCTTCCCCATCAACGGATCTAACTCGACTTGACACCCCTTGGGAGTGGACTGAAGAGTGTGAGGCAAGCTTCAAGAAATTGAAGTATGCTCTAACACACTATGAAGTTCTCAAACTTCCTGATCCTGACAAACCGTTTGTTGTGACCACAGATGCCAGTCAATATGGCATAGGCGCGGTCCTTGCGCAACAGGAGGGGCCAAAGTTGAGACCGATCAAGTATATGAGCAAAAAGATGCCTTCCCAAAAGTTAGCTAAGTCCACGTATGAGAGAGAACTCTACGCCCTGTACAGAGCGCTTGTTCATTGGAGACACTACCTCCTAGGGAGATTCTTCTATGTGAGGTCGGACCATGAGACTTTGCGCTGGATTAAGACACAGCCTGTTATGTCCGACGCACTCAAAAGATGGATTCAAGTGATATACCTGATCCTATCAAGGGTACGTACAGCAAAGTGGCTGATGCATTCTCGCGAAGGGCAAACTATTTGGGCACGCTAGTCACTGAGTTTGGCATATCTGACGAACTCACTCGATCGCTGGAGGAAGCCTATCAGGGAGATCCAGTTATGTCAGAGATCATTCGTAGATTCCAAGCAAAGGACAAAACGACTTCGGACGAATTTACGATGGTAGATGGCTTGCTGTTTCTCGAGAAGGCAGGGTATAAAAGATTGTGTGTCCCGTATAGTGAGTCTTTACGTATTATATTTTTAGGCGAGTGTCATGACGCAACTGGTCATTTTGGATATAAAAAGACCTCAACTAACCTAGTGCAGAGATTTTGGTGGCCCACTATGATGCAAGATACGAAAAGGTATGTTGAAACTTGCCTGGTCTGTCAAAGGGACAAACCTAGGACTCACGCTCCGCTTGGCCTACGAAAAGGTATGTTGAAACTTGCCTGGTCTGTCAAAGGTCGCTTGGCCTCATCAAGCCCTTGCCGATTCCTGAAGGTCCTTGTGAAAGTGTATCCATGCACTTCATGGATACTCTTGTGACCAGTAAATCTGGAAAGAGGCATATCTTCGTAATAGTGGACCGCTTTACTAAATATGCAAGACTGATCGCTATGCCAAAAACTGCGAAAACTGACAAAGTCATCAAACTGTTTCTGGATCACTGGGTTAGGGATTTTGGACTACCCACATCAATAGTGAGTGATAGGGATGTAAGGTTTACCAGTGAGCTGTGGCAAGGCAACTGCTGAACAAATGGGAACCAAGCTCCAAATGACTTCAGGGAATCACCCTGAGCCAAATGGTCAGGCAAAGCAGATGAACCGGGTAGTACAGCATGTGCTTCAGCATTACATGAAGCCAAGTCAGGATGACTGGGCCGAGCAGTTACCTCTCGTCGCCAGCCTGTACAATAACGTTGTGCATAGTAGTACGGGTATGACTCCCAACCAGCTACATCTTGGTTGGAAACCCAGAACTGTGCTTGACTTTCTGCTACCGGAAAGGCAACCCACTGCAGCCCCTGGCAGCATAGAGTATGCTATCAAGTATGACCAGATGCTGCAAAAGGCAGTGGAACATATTAAGAAGTGTCAAGATGCTATGATTGCATCTGAGAACAAACATAGACGGCCTTCTAACTTTCAGGTAGGTGAGAGAGTCTGGGTGAGATCATCTGAACTGGGTCAGGAGATAGGGATGATGCCACAATACTTTGGGCCCTGGGAGGTCTTAGATATTGTAGGGGATCAACCGGATGGGCCTTCATACGTGATTCGCATCCCTGCACACTTGCGGACTTACCCTGTTTTCCATGCATCCAAGCTGGCACCTTTCGCTGCCACAGAGCAGTTTCCCTCTCGGAGATCAATGCTGCCCCCAACCATGGATGGCGAAGTGGACATTGACCAGATTGTCAGGCACCGAGTGATGCCTGTTCCTCGACCATCCGGCAGAGGACGCCCTCCTAAACCGAGAATGCAGTATCGTGTGAGATTCAGACATCATCTGGATCCTAAAGAAGATCGGTGGTTCACACGAGAAGAACTCATGAGAACAGCACCTCAAGTGATTGCAGGCTATGAAAGATTACTCAAAGGGAAAATGCCTGCAGAATAAGAGACTTCTCAGAGGACCTACGAAGTAGAGGAGCAGCGAATGCGAGGATCTGGGTCCTCGGTAGGCCTATGGGGCCCTGTTTGCAGCATTGCCCGCCCTAAGTGAAAGCGGAGGTGCCCGCCCTAAGTGAAGGCGGGCCTGGCATATCGCAAGAGGCCCTTGACTGTCAATTTCATATTTGGGGTCCAGGTAGTTGCGACGCGCCAGTTGGTTGAAAGAAACTCAGGCCGGGCAACACAGACATTTCCACGGCCTTCCGAGCTTTTTCCAAAGAATGCAGGCGCTGGGTGTGATTCGCAGCTTCATACAGCCACAGTTGGGCGCCCAACCGAACGAGGCCCAGCAGCCCAGCAGCTGCTGTACACAGGCAGCCTCTTGGGGCCTTCCGGAAGCTTCTGCGCCCAGCCCAGTGCAGCCAGGCTGCGCGAGCAGGCCAACTCTTTCCATAAAGGAAGGAGCTCTGCCCTGGCTGCCTCATTCAGGCACTCACATGCTAGCGGCAGCGCTGCTGGAGCAAGAGCTTGCGGCTGCTGGCTGGCGCTGAGAGGCGAGGTGCAGCACGTGCGGTCGTGCAGGGAAGAAGGGCGCTCCTGAGGGCAGCGCCATAGCCCAGCCACCATAGCTGGTGGGCTTGGACTATAGTGAGGCGCAGGGGTGGTCTTCGGGTGTGAGAGAGGACAGAAGTGGGTGTAAAGTCAGGCGATAAGTGAAGGATGATGATGATGATGATGTGAGGGCACTTACCTTGTATTGGCGATGGTCTGCATGGGCGACATCTTCAAGTACGTCGGGTTGCTGCTGATGTCAACAGTTGCATTGTCAGTTAGTAGGGTGCAGTAGCTGTGCTAGGAGTAGGGTGGGCGCTGAGCGCCAAGTAGGAGTGTGAAGGGACTGGACTCGTGTTGATGAGGGGAGAGTATGCTCTCCGTGACATTGGTTTTCAGTACTACGAACCTCCATTGGTGTATTATTGGTGCAATGCTGTTCTCTGGACACGGTGTGACTATCTGGCTTTCAATGTAATGGTGTAATCTGGAATCGTCATCTCGCTGTTGCTTATTTTCCTTGCATACGCTTTCTTTTCTTTAAATTCAAAATCCAGACCATTCAGACTTTACCACTTTTCTTCCTTCTGGCATATATATATATGGATTTTCGATTCCAATCCAGTTGGTTGGTTCGGCCGAGCATATGGTCGCTTTACTTGTTTCCTTTTTTTTTCCCGTTTCCTTTGTTTCTATATTTCCATTCGACACTCTTGGGAAGGCCCCTCATTCAGGGCATACTCTCACTAGTGCTTACCAGAACATATCTGACCAGTACTATGTCCAAATTTATCTTTTTCTTTTTTTCCTTCTTGTTTTATTTCTTTCTGAGATAAGTGCCCTTCCAGCGACACAGGGCATCTTCGCACACAAGGGGCCTTGCCACACCACTCCCGAAATTGGTGTTTTCGTGAGTGCAGCATCGCCACATATACTCTCGGATTCAGCTCTCGAAAGTGAGTTCGAGAGCTGTCAGAGGAGCGACCCCGAGAGTACTCCTGAGTTTCGTTTCTGTGCCCACCTGCAAATTGCCATTTTCAAGAGACCTCGGGGCGACCTCCGAGTTCGGTCTTGAAAATCTTGAGTCGACCATGAAGGACAAGAGGTTTTTGCCAACCTGCACTCAACCGGAAGAGGCTTCTGTCAATTACGGAATTCAGGAGTGCCCCGTTCGGGAGCCCAGTGTGGCGAAGGGCACTCTCAAACGGGATTCCACGAGTTTCAAGACTCGGGAGTATCCCGAAAAGTTTCTCCAATTCGGGAGTGGTGTGACGAGGCCCAAGGACTTCTTGGATGAAGCTCTGGACACGATTGCTGTCAGATTCATCAAGGTCCGGTCGTAATTTCAGTCGGATGCATTTTGTAAAGTACCAGTGTGAGTATGCTGTGAGAAAGTAACGTCGCCCAGCCCAGTTTCTCTTTATTTCCCCTTTTGGGCCCACCAGCCTTTTCCCTCCAAACCAAGGCCTTGCCTGATCACTGTAGATTTTGCCACGAGAATAGGTACCGAATAAAATGTACATTAAGGGTCCGATGGACTGGTGGTTTATCTCGCGTCTGTCTGCTGGAAGAGAGCCCCATAGACAGCCAATAACATTGAGTAAGAAGATGCAAACAATGAGATCTGGAATCGCCAAGCTACCGTCTTGACCCCAATGGAACGCCCTGTCATTATCGCCGTATCTAGACGGAATGTCACCCCAAATACATCTATAATGACCGGGTGTTATATTTGGGCAAAGATGGTAGTCGGTTAGGTATTCGCAGCAGCAAACCTGTTCCACAAAGAAGTACAAGAGATCTTCTGCTAACTGTCGGGATCCGGATGCAGCAGCCGTATCCATTGCATCGCTGTAAAGGTTGTCCATCTTTGCAAGAGCAATTGATTGCTCCCATCGCCCATTCTTCCTATAGATATAACCTGCAATACGTCTGAACTCAAGCAGCTCATGCTCTTCAAGCTGTGCGCAAAGGACACAGTACAACGAAAACAATGAAAAGAAGGGGACAGCACAACGCACAAAGAAACGGAATGTTAGAGAGCATGAAAGATCATTTTGCAGCTACCCAGTCCGCGTGGCTGAATGGTACATATGAAACCACCAGTAGTTAATAACAGAGAACACAAGTTCAAACTTGATGGGATCAGATGAACACACTGAAGTTAGGGGCTACCTCTTAAAACATTCAAAGGAACATTTCACAGCACTTTGCAACTACTGGTTCTGAAAAGGCAATGACCCACATGAACCCACCATATCACCAAATTTTTGGACCGAATCAACTGTCAACTTCGTTGAGAAATATCCCAGTATGAGTATTAAGCCCCAAGATGCGTTGCACAGGAACATTGCTCATCCCGTATCGAGTTTCCTCTGTGGCCCAAAGGGAGGAACGCTATTTTGCCCAACAAGGTTTCCAGGTTCAGACTATCAATTCAGTTTGTGACTGTTTGTCCAACAAGGGTTCAAGATGTGTAAAAAAGGGGGGGGGGGAAGAGTTCAAAATGTACAGAGTCCTCGTTACCATTCAGCAGGAGAGACGGACATTGACAAAACCATCACCAGAAAGCGATCAGCATGCACATGAGATCATATGACAAATCAAGCAAAAACAGTAGGAAAGGGAAGAGAGGTCAACATGACAATTGGCACCTGTTGCGCAAGGCCGATCTGTTCAAAATTTACATAGTGATCGACCGACTCCCTCAGTTTTTCGTAGTCCTCTTCTTCAATGTACAACTCGTGCAATGCCTCATTTACAGCAATGACATCATCGCTCTGCACTGCGATCAAGTACGGCTTGATTAATGGCAAGCTGTTAGCCTGCTCCAAAGTAATGCAACAACCACAAACAAAGCCAGCCATACCGCCACCAAGATCAGCCATCACGACACAACGGTACTTAGTGCTAACAAAGAATACTGCAAGGAAAATGAGCAATAGCCAAATACAGGATTCGAGATTGCAAAATCACAATGAAAGCCAAATAGTCGAAAACTGTCCAGAAAACAGAAATGCACTGATGTCACACTGAAGGAGAACCAAAGCAGCGACTCAATTGTCAATAAAAGCAATACCCTCGCCACCACCAACAATGCAATCGAAGCTCTTCCTCCTACTGGCGCTCAGTGCCCAGACTACTGTCCTACAGCTACACCGCCAGCCTATGAAATGACGAAGCAACCAGTTGACGTCAGCAGCAGCAACCGAAGTATATGCAGATGTTGACCATGAAGACCCCTGCCAAGACCAGGTACATGCCCTCATATCATTTTCTCACTCGCTCTCTCACCCTTGTCTTTTTCACCCACACCTCCTCACTACCTGAAGACCACCACCATACCCTGCTGACCTTCTCCAAGCCCGAGTGCGGCTATGGGGGCTGGGCTATGGCGCTGCCTTCGTGCAGCACCCTTCTTTCACCGACACCAGCGTGCGGCCAGGCACAAGCGCTAGCACAGCAGCACGCGAGCACTTGCTCCACCAGCGCTGCCGCATGCAGTCGCAAGTGCCTCACTCCATCAATGGAAGGCGGGCACTTTCCTAGATGGAAAGTGCTTGTCTGTGTTTGCTGCCTGGGCCTGGCGACCGTGTGCCCAGTAGCTTCTCGTCGGGCCAAATTGTCTGCGCCCAGGCCCATTCAGACAGTGGCCTGGGACCGAATTGGTTAGGCGTGCGCAACCACCCAGGCGCAAATGTGCGGTGTTCCCTGCTTCCCCTGCAAGGCTGGAAGAGCGTAGAAGGCTCATGAATATTTCTGATTCTCACGAGGGGGGAGGATGTAACCGACTGGCGCCTGGTAACTGTCGGTCGCCCAACAAGACTTCCAAAATTGACAAATTCAGGCCACATTGAGATCCAGCGGCGCGGTTCACTTAGGGCCGGCTCATGCTTGCTGTAGGTGCCCATTCACGGGCATGCTGAGGACCCAAATCCTTGCACTCCCTCCTCCTTACTTCAACAGTCCTCTGAGAAGTCTTCAATCAGCAATTTGCTTCCCTTTCAACCTTCTTTCATTTCCTGCAATCACCTGCGGAGCGGTCTTCATTAGTTCTTCTCTTGTGAACCATCGGTCTTCTTTAGGACGAGATGGTGCCTGAACCCCACTCTGTATTGCATCTGTGGTTTCGGAGGGTGTCCCATAGCGGGAGGCTTGGGAACAGGTATAAGCTTGTGATCGACGATACATCAATGTTCACGCGTCCATCCAGAGTTGGGGGGAGCATATGTCTCCTTGATGCAAATCTGTCGGTCTCAGCAAAAGGAGCCAGTTTGGAGGCTTGAAACGCAGGATGCGTGCATAAGCGTCCAGGGATACGAATGACTTATGAGGGCCCGTCTAATTGATCCCCAATTACGTCCAGAACTTCCCACGGGCCGAAATACTGTTGCATCAGTTTCCTACAGATTCCCAGTTCCCGTCCCAGCTCAGATGACTTACCCCAGATTCGCTCTCCTACCTGGAACGTGGATGGCCTTCTGTGCCTATTCTCAGATGCGACCATGGCGACAGCCTGCTGCAGCAGCTTTTCATATTTGACAGCAAACTCTATGCTACCAGGTGATGCGGTGGGCTGGTTCTCAAGCAACAGAAAATCAACAGCAGACCTGGGCTTCCAACAAAGATGCAGCTGGTTGGGAGTCATGCCCGTAGTGCTGTGCACGGCGTTGTTGTACAGGCTGGCAATGAGAGGTAACTTCGCATCCCAATCATCTTGACTGGGCTTAATGTAGTGCCTCAGCAGCTGCTGCACAACCTGGTTCATTTGCTCTGCTTGGCCATTTGACTCACGGTGATTCCCTGATGTCATTTGTAGCGGGGTTCCCATTTGCTGGGCTGTGCTTTGCCACAGTCCGCTGACATCCCTGTCACTAACATGCCCTTAGGAAGTCCAAACGCCGCAAGTATTTCTTGACCATCTTTACTTCAGCTTTCTATGGGGTGAAAGGTCTTTCACGATTCAGACCCCAAATTCGGGTCTCAGGGTCAGAGGCCCTGCCCAAGAAAGGCCAAGTTATTCAATTTCAGAAAAGTCACGGTCGGATACTCCAGCGGTCCAGTCCAACAGGCACCCAGCAAGCAGTCACATCTCAGGGACAAAAGTCACGTCTCATCATGAAAAGTCATATTAAGAGTCACATCCCACGAGTGAAGGGGCAGTCCCATAGGCAAGAGTCGTGTCTCTAAGGCAGGAGTCACAGTCCTCAGTCAAAACCATATGTGTTATGACCCTGGCCAATTTCGAGATACACATCCACTGGAAAGTACAATGCCATCCAATTGCAAAAAGAAATGAATGAACTTAAAGGAGAGAGAGGATTAGAAGAAGAAGAAGAAGTAGGAAAGAAGAAGAAGAAGATGTACACCAGCAAAGACAATGACAAGGCTCTTCTTCTTCGCCCAACAATCTCCTCCTCCTTATCTCCCCCTTCTCTTATTCATACAAGAAATAATAATACAATGTTGAATGACTGGTCCAGAATCAATGTCCGAGTCCCTCTTCTACTGCAGGTATCACTCAAGGTCCACCATAGCCATGGCCGGCATTGGCCGCCCCTCCCACTCTTCACTCTCATAGGCCGAGGCTATGGCGGACTACTAGGCCTTGCCCAGACGTCCAAAGGACAACCCAAAGCAGCTATGGCTGCTCTAGCTCAGGCCGCCATGCCCAACCCTGCCTTGAAGCTTCTTGGTGTGGCTCTCCCGGGCTGGGGACTTTTCTTGCTGCAGCGCCCACCAAGGTGATGAAGATGGCTGCCACCATAGCCAGGTAAGTACCCCTGGCGCTCCTCCCCCTTCCTTCCTTCTTCCTCCCCAGCAGCGCTGCTCCAGCCAGCGCTCCACCAGTGTGTCGCCAAACTTGCACACCGAAAAAGAGGCCGGGTCTTCCGCCCGGCCTGAAGATATAGCGGCCTGCTTTGCCTCTTGGGCGGTGACTTCCAGGCTGCTGGCCTTCCCAAGCAACCGGTASCTCCTCCTCTTTTGGAGGGAAACATCATTGCAGACTCTGATATTGCCTCTACAGGCCCTAGACTCAGACTGGTACCCGCTAGACCTAGCCTACACTACCGGCCTCTAAAAATGCCACTTTTTGCCTTCTTCTGCTCGGGCCTCCGGTACCTGCATATTTACCCCCCTACCGGGTGCGGTACCGGCCTACCCGCTACTTGAGTGCTTTTTCCCCGCTGCAACCCTTCAAAGCCACGGCCACAGGTAAGTACCGGCCCTGTGGGCCCAACGAACGAACAAGAGCCCTGGCGGGCCATACACACACACTCGTACCAACCAGCACTCAGACAGGCACAGTCACACACACGCAAGCCAACCAGCACTCAGACAGACATGCAGTCCACCAAGCACACACACACACAGACTTAGCAGGCGGGAACTCAGTAGGGCATTCAGTCCATGAGCAAAACTCAGAAATCAGTTGTGTGTTTCAGTCCATGTTTGGACGGGTTATCACACTACACCCCCCTCAAGAGCGAGGTCCCTTCGAGCGAGTAACTCATTCTCAGTCCCCGGCAAATGCATCGTAGGCGAGCAAGGCAAAGAGATTCCTGGAACACTCTGTCGCAGAGAGCCTTGCTGAGATCTTGGGTGCGGCGTTAGCAGCGATTTGGCGCTCTTAGGCTTTAACAACGCGCGGTGCGCTGCGTAGCAGTTCCTGTTTGGAGATCCAGTACAGATCGTCTAACGGGTGATACATACCCTGTTTGATTCTATCTATCTCATGCCCGCCCTTGATTGCGCGAGGGATCATATCTTCGTTGTAATCGAATGTCTCGGCATCACGGTGGAGATACAGTTTAGATGCATGGAACACGGGATATGTGCGCAGGTTAGCTGGCACGTCTACAACGTACGAAGGGCCAAAGTCATCTTCACCAATCACATCCAAAACTTCCCAGGGCCCATAATAGAGAGGGAGGAGTTTGCGTGAGACTCCCTCTTCTTCTGAGAATTCAGACATCTTGACCCAGACATAGCTTCCTACCTCAATATCTGACGGTCTACGCTTCTTGTTCGCGTGATGGATCATGGCGTGTTGTCGCTTGGTCATAGCTATAATGGCAACTTTGAGCAAGCGATCATACTTGGCCCTGAAGCCAGGCCTGCCAGGTGTTAAACCAGCTGGTTGCTTAGGGAATAGGTAAGAGAGCGGATTCCGGATTTGCCAACCGTAATGCAGCTTGTTGGGTGTCATGCCGATGGCGAAATGGACGGAGTTGTTGTATAACCCCCCTTAACGGAATACAGCTCTTCATCCCATGTTTCCTGATCCGGGATAATCAAAGCGCGAAGTAGTTGGAACACAGTCTGGTTGATCTCCTCAGCCAAACCGTTGGCTTTGGGGTGTCGGCCAGATGTCATGCAGTTTGATTCCTAGGTGAGACGTGAAATCCTTCCATTCAGTGCTAATGAACCGCGGATCCTGATCGCTCACAAGAGTCTTCGGGGTTCCGAATTGCAACAGGTATTTCTGTTGGAATTCGTGAATCACTAGATCTATTGGGGCGTGGGGCGGCAAAGGGATCAGATTAAGAAATTTTGAAAATCGATCAACAATCACCATGACCTGTGAATACCCGTTTTTGCTTACCTTACCCATGTCAGTGAAATCGATGGAGACAGACTCCTCGGGACCATCAGGAATGGGTAGGGGTGCGAGTAGCCCCATAGGCTTTTGTCTGCATGGTTTGATTCGTTGACAAACTTGACATTCAGCCACAAACTTCTCAGCAGTCCCCTTCATGCCAGGCCAATCAGATTGTCTCAACAAATTAGCGTACGTTTTTGCCATGCCGAATTGCCCGCTCCG